GTAATGGCATGATAATCTAAGAATTAGTGTATATTTGCAAATTTAGTGTGTAGGAAAATCTCAGAAGGGGGAGGTTACAGCAACCATTTGACAGGTGTCTATCGGCTAAAAGGTGTTGAAAAAGGAAGTTTTTGTGATGAATTCATAGACATGAACGAAGGCTTAAATGTTATTCACTCAAATATAAATTTTTGGCAGTTATAAGGATATTTTTTTTATTATCATAAAAACGTTCTCTTTATGTATGATATTTCCTGTATTTAGGTAAAATGTAAGACATAGTCGTGTATTTCAAAGCAGAATGCATACATATATATGTAAGTTTAAATGTAAGTCTTTAAAACTAAGGGAATTGAATTTATATAGTTAAATTAAATTACTTTTCTTGCATATATGCAATGTTTTTGGATTTGTAAAAACAATAATAATTCAAAATTGAATGCAAATGGTTAAAATTGCTAAATTCGGGGGCCTCCCCACAAGTTTATGCGCAGCATTGTTAAGGCTGAAAAAAGTAGGCGGGGCTCAATTTATACGGGAAAAGTTAACTGTGACGTCACACTCTTTTATGTATTCCCACAGAAAATAAAATTAGCAAATTTTATGGCATTATAAACAACAATAAAACTTTTTATAAAAACAGTTAAATCCCATAATATATCATGAACTTGCCATTTTTCATGTGCTGTGAGAGGCAGATTTAGGAATTTTTTTAACAAAAACTTCATTTGCCTTTTAAACAACCTTTAATCATTTACATGTATATACTCCTCATTAAATAGATTAACATTTACTCATTTTTTGTGAAGCTGAAAAGCGTGACTTTATGAGTAAAAAAATCCATATCAGATACATTGATTGTGTTGCTACTATTAAGATATGCAATCAAATATATGATATCCCTTCTTACATTTGAGAGAAAAAATATCAGAAGACACAGATATAAGGTTTTATTATATAAAAAAGTAGGGGGTCAAGTTTCTATGCGTGGTTATGGACACATATCATGGTTTTCTTTGGAAAAAAAACCCACCCAAACAATAATTATACATTTATACTCCTCAATAGATTAACATTTACTCGATCATTGGGAAGCTGCAAGCCAAAAAAAAAAATCAGATACATTGATTGTGTTGCTACTATTAAGATATGCAATCAAATATATGTTGAAAAGGAGTAAAGTACATCCTCCCTTCTTACATTTGAAAGAAAAAAATCTCAGAAGACACAGAACTCAGATACAAGGTTTTATTATATAAAAAAGTAGGGGGTCAAATTTCTATGGGAGTCTTTTTTCAACGTATGTAAAGTCGTAGAAATACTGGTCTGGAAGGGTTTTCTACGGTCGAAAAATGACCCTACTTGTCGTAGAATATTGACCCCCTGGTCAATATTCTACGGAGGTAACTTTTCGTCGTTACACCTGCACTATCAGTGTAGAGATGAAGTTGGTCATAAGACAACAAATTAACAGTAATGAAATTTAAACTGCCATTAAACCTGTGTTTAAAATCTAACCACACAAGAAGGTCAGATTTCATTCCCTTTGTTACCCTAATGAAATGACTTTATTTTATTCCCCACATAGCATCAAAAAATCTTCTTTTAAAGGCCCAAGCAGTTGGAATAGCTTTAGCACAAAAATTCAGAGAACCTACCAAAGATTGTAATTCTCTCAGCGTAACATTTGCTTTTTGTAACATATCAAGCAGTGATTTCTCCAGATCAATATTTTTTCTTCAAAAATTCGAATAACCATCTTATCTGTATCAATTTCTATACGCAGGTATGAAAGTACCGATTTTGGACCCTCTGTTTTCTCTTCTGCAAGAGGGATGCCAAAAGCAGAGCAGGTATTTTTGAATGAAAACAACAACAAGTTACATGTTTCTAACGTGCCCCAAGCAAATATGAAAACATCTAAGTAATGGTTCAGTGTGTGAACTCCAGTTTTTACTTCTACTTCTCACTGAATAAAATGTGCAAACTTTTCCCATAAAGCACAACTAATTGAACAACCCATTGGTAGACACATATCATAATAATATTGATCATGAAACCAAGTAGCTGATGGTCAGAAGAGTGAACCGGAAGTAATCAAAAAGCTGATTTTACATCCATTTTTCCAAGATAAGCCCCTTTTTCCCAGTGACTCTACCATGTCTAAAACCTCGTCAAGAAAAGTGTATTGAACAGAACAAGCTTCAGGGTCTATGAAATCATTAACATTAATTAAATTAGAAGGATATGAAAGGTGGTAAATGAGACGCCAACCCCCATCCTTTTTTGCCACTACTCCAATAGATGATAGCCTTAAATTGGACAAAACTTCATGATTGAAAGGACCTGCTTTTCGACTCAAAGAAATTTCTTTGTCAATTTTTTCTTTTACCTCGTTTGGGTGATCATTCACAGAAACTAAATTTTTACAGGTTGTTGACATTCTTGGACCTTCATAATGTAGATAAAAACCTAATTCTTTAATTCATAAGATACAGTTTGATTTGGAAAAATTGAAAAATAAGGACACACATTATTCAAGTTAATTGATGTTAAACCTGTTCTTACGAAAGGAGCCTGTCGAATATTTGCTGCCTGGCTGACGAAAAAATGAGAAGGGGGCTTGAAAAGTCCTGGAGAATGATGTCCTCTGTACCGCTTGTTTATCAGGACAATGAATTGCGGGATGTTTGTTTTGACACTTTGAACACTGGAGTTGATGTTGACAATTTTGCATGCGACAAGAGCCTTTGTTGTTGTATTCATAACAAAATTTTGAGCTGCGTTGAGAATTTTTATTTACAGAGTGAGTATTTGGGGTAATGTAAAGAAGCCAAAGCTCCGGGTCGATTTTGTCCCAGGAAATACTGTTATCTTTGGCTCTTTTCAGTCGAAATTGTCGGTCATATTCTTTCCAAACTAATCCACCAGAAACTCGACTGGCACCGAGTTTGGCATTACCCATATATTTGATAAGGCTGTGAGTTTGAACAATATGTGCTTACAAATATATACTCATATAAATAAAAAATGCATCAAACCAAGTGTCAACTGTTGTAATTTTGATTGTATTTGCAGGTTTTAATGTGAGTTGACCATTTGTAAATAAAACTCTACTCTCCATTGCTTCAATATCTGTTTGCTTATTAAAAAGTGTATGCAATTCTACAAACTCCCCTTTCATGATTTTTTTGTTTAACTGACTGTGTAACATGCATACCTAGATCATCATTGACACTGGTTATGCTCTGAGGCATTGAACATGAACGAGAAATTGTTTCAAATCAAATGACTTGATCTGAATCAGATAAATTTTGTACATTGTCAGTTGATGTACTAGAAGAGACTTTGCTATCTTCAGTCGATGGTGTGTCAAGCCGTTGAGATAATCGTCTCTATCCTCTTGTTAATTTTCGGCAGCATTTTTTTTTCTACTGAAGAAACAGCTTCCTCAAGGTCTGGCATTGCCTCCTTGCTTGTTCCGGGATCCAAGTTTTGTGGTGGCTTTAAGGTCTCTATTTTCTGGCATCTTTTCTTTACGCCCGGAAGTCTGGACTTCCCTACGAATATTCTTTTACCATTCGTTGCCAATGCCTATTATGGCCTCCCTCCTTCGTCAGTTGAGCGCAACTTTTGTCATGGTTGCATCTCTCGAAGTACGATATATAAATAATATATTTTTACTCTGATGTATAAAACAAATTGAATATGATACTAAAGCAGTTATTAAGAAAAACAATTGACGATACAGAACTTGTCAGACGGACTAAAAGTATGTTTATATTGGAAAATATTACAATAACAACACGAATTCTTTTGATTAATAAATACATAACCCTGTGCCAATAAATGAGAAATAAACCAATTGATTAAATGGCGAAAGTTAAAAGTTACATCAAATTTTTAAGCTAAGAGACAAACTTCACCCACCTTTTAATCCAACATAAACAAATATTGTGACGTCAATGATTAACAGCAATAACGTCATCTATAGCAGGGCATTACGCATACAAAACCAAGGCTAAAATAATTGGATTTATTTTATAAAGTTCATAAATGATTTAATTCACTTATTTTTGTTCAAATATTAGTAAAATTTCTAAAAAGTAAATATACCAGTTCTCTATTCCAACAGGTATTTATTAATAATTGTTGATCATTGTTTACGTAATGATTATATGTTTTCATAGTTAACTATTTGATAACACAAAATTCCACCTTTTCCCACATGAAATCTTACCTTTTTCTACATGATTTTGAAAAAAAGTGGGAATAGGTACATGTAGAATGAACTGTATATATGTAAAGGGAGAGGGCTAAAATAGGCTTTGCCTGCTGCCCAATCCCATTCACTTTTATTTGTAAATAAAATTTTGTATCAAGAAAAAAATGCATGTATATTGGATGTTAAGTAAATTAAATATATTTAAAAAAAACATTTCGTTTACCTTCGTCTGTTAATTTTTGGACATTCCACATCCAGATCAACCCCCCCCCCCAGTGTTATTTCTCCTTAACCCATTTTTTTCAGTTGGTAGTGAAGGTCCTTTCATACTCACAAATGCAAAATGCAAATTCTTTAACAATACGTTAATATCTTATTTCTTTTCAAATATACACTATTTTATTTGTTGTACATATTGAGAACAGTCTATTTTGCTTACAAAAGGTCCAGTAATAAATATCATCTAATTTAATTAATACAGAATGCAAGTAAAAGCAGCTAGCTATCTGCAAACTCAAATAAAAAGATCTAAAGTATAAATCGTATAGACCGTTTCACGGTAACTGCGGAACTGCTCTTTTGCAGGGCAAAATGATACAGTTTGATGAAATATGACGTAAAAGTAATTGTTTAAAGTACGTCATTTAATTATCTATCAACAAAAACTCCGTTATTATTTTGCCCTGCAAAAGTTACAGTAGTACCGCAGTTATCGTGAAGGGGCTAATTATACATGTAAGACATGGAATCAGTATAAGCTGGACTTATTTTTCAGGATACGACTGTGAGGAAGATATAGGACCTATTCCACGTCCTGGAAACCCTCCTGTGAATATGTTTGTATTGACTGATAAAAGCATCACTTGTATTGTGCTCAAAGATCAAAATCAGTTCAACATTCCGTATATGTCATATACTGGGGTAAGTGTCAGAACTTAAACTATCACGATGTGTGTGGCATATCCTGTTTGATTCCTGTCTCTCTAAAAATGAATAATTGTGATAAATGTTCATGATTTTATGAGCACAATTCAATATAATAACAATTCAAGTTAAAAAAAAATGTCTCGCCACTGTTAAATCTGCAACGATCAGAAAATCAGCAACATCAATTTTCTTTAAAATATGACATGCCTTCAACTCGACATTTAGATATATCGACGACGTATTCAATTAATATTTTCCATTCTTATGTTGATAGGATAAATCCTGTTGAGCTTGAAAAAACCCACAAAGTTTGACACATCTTTTTTTATATTTGGATATTTTACTTGAAAAAGACGTTAATAGTAATTTAACAACCAAGATATATGATAAATGTAATGACTTAAACTTGTCTATCGTCAACTTGAACTTACTTATGGAGCAATATACCTTCGTCACCTGCATAGGGAATTTATGTATCTCAGTTAATCTCAGTTGATTTGATACGCAAGAGCATGCTCTACGTATGAACAATTTTTTTTAAAAAGTTAATTGACGTCTTAGATAGTGTGGTGTAAAACAGATGTCGACATGAAAGTATGAAAATCAAACGTGATTCTTAGAAATTTTCTTAAACTTTTTATTAATTACCAATGATTATTATCATTAAATGCAATTAGAGATGTCTTTCAATTACCGGCACATAAGTGTTGCAACTGCTATATTCAAATTATAATGTATGGACGTTCAACTGCAAAGAACTATATGCGGTATATTGCATATATTTGCCCCCACAAAAGTCAAATTTTGAAAACTTCCTGAAATGTGCTGAATTCAATAAATTGTATGAGAAATATAAATCAATAGAAAATATTATAGTGTCAAAGCAGTGTATTCACAATTTTTGTTTTTACGACGTCACAAACTAGTCCGATTTTATACCTTTTTTCAGAAAGAGGACAAAATGGACAAAATTTCAACAATTTTAGCTTTAAAATTTATAGAGCGCAAGTTTGTTCGGGAACAATATTGACATATTTCATTGATGTTATCATTCTACACATTATATCAAAATATTGATCGTGAACACACATGCGCTCGGTGACTTTTACTCAAAATATCGACGAAATATGTACATTTTTCTGTAAAATTCATTAAAAAAACTGAAATTTACGTCATGTTTATGACGTCATTACGTACATATGGCGTCATTACTTATGAAAATATTTAGTGCTTTGAAGTCAGCATATACTCCCCTGTTTAAGAACTTAATTAAATACATCTCCATCAAAGTTTGCTTTGGGGGGCAAATATTTGTTATTACCAAATAAAGTTCTTTGATTGCAAAAATACTGCGTCAAGCTTGCTCTACACTACTATTTTAAATGTTTGAGAATCCTACTTTTATTGTTACTGTTTAAAAAATACGTATACATCAATTTAATTACTTGAACACATCTAACCTAAGCTTTCTTTAGCTTTACTTTTATTAAAAAGTAGTTATATTTGATTCTCTGTAGATTAATTGAGAAATATTTATGCTTAAGTGTCAAATAGTTTTGCGTTTTTTTGTTTTTAAATCAAATTACAGTCAAACTTATCTTAGCGGCCACCCGAAATCAACGGCCACTTGCAGTCAACGGCCACTTTCAGTTCCCCCCGACGATTTTGCCTATATATTTTAACTGGAATAAACGGCCACCTGTGTAACGCGGCCAGCGGCCACTCAAATCCTCCCCCAACAGCCTTATTTACACTGTAGTTGGCGGCCATTTCGTTACTTGTTGGGGTCATATCACATCTTTTAAACACATTGGCTTGGGTAATTATATCCTTGATAGTCAATTTAACCTATTAATGCAATTAAAAAATTGCTTTTAGATACGCTGAACTCTGTGTTTATGAAAAAAAAATATTGTCCTTTCAGATCAATTTGTAATTATTTTTCAAGATCGCCGATTGAAAAATTCAAAGAATTTAATTACAATTTATACTTTCCTCTAGCTAAAGAAATTCACACCTTTTATATTTTGATTCCATATAGAAGCCCTAATTGCAACTCATGTGAAAACAAAGTGCTTCATTTGCCATGATTATCTCGTGAATTTCACTAACCAAGAGACATCGATAGGGATTAGTTACGCTCTACTGCACTTGACACCTGTGCTATGGAATGATTTTCAACTGCGTAAATACATCTATCTGGTCAACTGGTTAATTTTATTTGTGTGTCTGTGTATGTTAAATAGAAATTCTTACAGCTTTATAAACAATAAAATTAACCAGACTTTAAAAACATCACCAAGTAAGTTAATCACCGATTAATTAAGTTGGGGGGGGGGTACACTGCTGACCACTTTTTTTAACACATAAATTGAAAATATTCTTCCTTAAATTTCTGTGCATATTTTTGTGTATTTTTTCTTGATTAAAAAATGATAATAGTCATGCACTTTATGTATTTCTTCAAATGAAAATTAAAAGAATTTCTTTAATATTACAAAGTAACAAAAACACACTGATGAATGCAAGATTTTAACTAATGTGTAGGAACAGAAACATGCACAAAACCTTACACATTTCGATTTTTTAAATATTCTTTTTAAATGAGCTTGAATTATTATATATACACTTAAAAGGCTTTTGTGAAATTGATCTGTTTAATTATGATTAATTAATTCAACTGTAATGCTTTTAAATATTGTTTATTTATTGACCGAATGTCCTTTTCGAGGGCAAACTGGAATAAGAGGCCACCTGTCTTAAGTGGCCAGTTTCCAGACTTCCCAAAGGTGGCCTCTTAAAACAAGTTTGACTGTATTTGCATTTTTTTTTTCTAGAATGCAACAGAAGTGATCTCTCTACCAGAAAGATACACTGTAACTGGAGACTGCAACACAAAACTGAATGGATATTATTCCCAGAAAATAGTTATTGGATTTTACAATTCCTTGAAGTTTACAATATACTTCTCCTCTGATGTACAGAAAGGTGAAATTTTAGCAAGAGAAAAGGTTACAAAGTACCGCATCTCACAGATTGAGCTGGATTTTGATTTTAATAACAATCTTTTTAAGGATGTTGACGACAGCAGTGAGTAATTGGTTCCAAATTAATTAATTTGAAGAATTTTTCAAAAATGGAGGATATTCAATGTTTTGTTGTTGAATATGGAATTTATTTCACGAGTTGGACAGGATTTTTTTGATACGGTATATGCAAAGTGAAAATATAAAAAAAAAAACGCTGCACGAGTGAAATGAATTCCATATTCAACTACAAAACATTGAATTTTTGTTTACCTTTCAGGTATTATATTTTCTTTTTTTGCAATCATAGGCTACATGACGTCATAGTTGAGCGGTTGAGACGTAATTTAAGCTTTGAATTCATATTTTGGGATGTCTTCGATCCTATAACACAGCTGGCCATACCGCGCAATACAAAATATGAATTCAATGCTTATGTTTACATTCTCTATTTTTTTCCTCTTTATAATTGTGTATTTCGGTAGTCTTTAATGTGAATTTAGTGCTATTCAAAACTGGTATGCTTTATTGACGTAAGAGCCGTTTGTGACGTTTGTGCAAAGTTTAATAACGCAAACGAGCATTGCGAGGAAAAAAAAGTGACAAATTAATTTTAAACGCACAAATTAATTTAACAGGGTTAAAAAAAATTTTTATTGAATTGTGCCAAAACAATGTACAATTTGGTGTTCCTAAACTATTGAAAATGCATATAGTTCCTACTGTGTATTCTAGCGCGATGTGACAAGGTTTACCGTGTGTAATAGAGATTTGAACGTCATGGATTTCTAATGGATTTCATAAGGAAAATTACACTAAATGTAAATATAGCTAAGTGTTGTGAGATTGAAAACGTTGTTAACAAAGATTTCAACAACATATTTGGAGGATCTTTGACAGTCTTAATCTATATCAGGATGGTTATTTATTTTCTAACCGATCATTTTAATATTTTTTCACAGTGTGACATATCATTTTTATTCAATGATTAAATTACAGTATTTTACTGTTAAAATGTAATAATAAAATATTTCATATAAGAAAAATAAGTAACGTCAGGTACCCGTGCTTTCACTTTGCATAATGTTTGAACGCATAACTATCATATAGGCTTTTTAATTGGTATTACTTACATTTTGCTTTCTAATTTACTTATAAAATAAAAAAGCAAAATATTACTTTCTTCTTTTCTGAAACTACACGTAGCCTCATCTTTCTCGCCACGTTTTTGGTCAAGTAAACGTGTGATAGCAAATACAAAAGTCAGGGCTTTCATGGGATTTTCCTTTACTTCTATGATAAAGGATACTCTTATTCTTATAAGTATATATTTTTTGTAAAATTGATATAAATTGAATCAATAAAAGTGTCAAATTTTCCCAACAACGCACATTTAAACTGTCAAAATTCTACCAAACAATAATCAGAATTTTTTCTTATTATTAATTTTTATGAAGGTGTGTATTGAAATTTAATTTTATTCATAAAATTGAATATAATTTATAATTATATAGCAAAAGATTTTTTTAAAGTGTTATAGTAAAAAAATTACAGATGTAAATCATAGTTAAAGGTCTTAATATTGCATTAATAAGTCAAAGCATAAGTGTACAATGCACTATGAAAACCTTAATCTATTAATTACTAGATTAGATAGATTTAGTTATACAATAAATTTTAGTCTGTTTAGTTGAATTTTGTTAGCTTATGTTATGAACTGTCTGTAAGTGAAATGTCCTCAATAATCATGCTTGGTGCAGCTAATGTATGACAACTGACACGGTCTTCCTGTTTTGTAGTTCATAAAATTAATTTATTTCTTATTGCAGTTCTCGGTACAAATAAAACAGCTGTTACTGCCAATCTAAGTGCATTGACAACAAATAAAGATCAAAGCTACACGTGCCGGAAAGATTCTACATTTAGCATTCAGAATGACATATATATGGTTACCAAGGATCTTCAATTTCAAGCCTTCAAAACTGAAAATTCAACTGCTTTCGGTTGTAAGTTACATTAAATACAATTTTTTTTAAAAAGCAGCCAAATAGCACGCCTGTGTATGAAATATGAAGAGAACGGGAATCAAGCTAAAATTTTGTTTTAACAGTACCAATCAGAAGCAAAACAAATACAATTTTTTCCAAAACATCAGAGGTGGGATCAACAATTCATATCAGGTCGACCAGGCAAACCCACGTGTGCTAATTGATATGATCGAGCAAACAAAAAAACTTTAAAATTCAATTAAGTGCTTAAATAATGTCCTTACAATAAGTATAAAAAAAACTTTCTACTAAATGACAGATTGTATTTGTTGATAAGGTCCATGTATCGACCATAGAACTTGCAAAATGATGACTTTTTAAAAACATAACTTTAAACGAAACTCCTGACATCCTTGTTTCATCAATTTATTTATCAACAGTCTAATTAGACCAATCTTTCGTAAATGGAACAAACTTTACATATCTAATTATCTAGGATATAAAAACCTATTTTGTTTGTTCGTTTGTTTGTCAAACAAATATAAATCAACCTCAAAGAGGTTTTTTTATTCATATTGAGATGTTCATAAACCCCATAATTATGCAGGGTATATTGCTCCATAAGTTAGGGAAGTTGACGCTAAAAAAATTAAAGTAATCGCATTTATTATTAAGTTTTTTGTTACGTTACCATTAACACCTCTTTCAAGTAAAATTTTCAATATAAAACAGACGTGATAGACTCGGTGGTATCTTTTATTTTAAGTGCATATTTATAAAAAATGTATTAATTTTTTCTTCATATGAATACAAAAAAGGTCTGCTAATAATGTATTTCTAGTATCTATGGTATATACCGATTTACTTAACTTTACTTGCAAGAATGGCAGCCTTTTCTTGTCTTTGTTTCATTAATTTACTAATTAAACCTAATGAATATGCATTGGCATGGTAACGACGTACACAGATATCAATATATGTAAATTTAATATGATGATAAAACCTACTTAATGGATATAATTTTGTATAAAATTTTCTTTATATAGCGGCAGTCTATTGTAAAGACAGTGGAGACAATGGAAGCAGTGAATATAATTATATCCTGTTAATTTCCATAGGAGCAGCATTAGGAGGACTTAATATAACAGCCACTGTGACTAAAAGTAGATCTACTTTTAGTCACAGTGGCTGTTATTGTACATAATAAACGTCAGAGTTATGAACGATTAACATATTGATTTCCATCTCTTTCAATAAGGCATTAATATTGTAATGAACATGTATATACAGACGTCGAAACTATTTTGCTTTTTTCAGACATGCAACTCATTCAGGTAGTGCAACTAAAAAAATCTTCTTTTTTTATGCGCCCGGATCGATAGATCCCGGGCGTATATTGTTTTTGTCCTGTCTGTTTGTCTGTTTGTCTGTTTATCTGTTTGTCTGTTTGTCTGTTTGTCTGTTTATCTGTTTATCTGTTTGTCTGTTTGTCTGTTTGTCTGTTGTCAACTTTAACCTTGGCCATAACTTTTGAACAATAAGAGATAGAGACTTCATATTTGGTATGCATACTCCACTAATAAAGTCCTTTCAAATGACATCAAGGTCAAAGACCTTGTGACCTTGACTGTGACCTATATGCTAAAAATAGCTTTTTCCACTGTTTGTCATAACTTTTTAACCATAGGAGATAGGGACTTCATATTTGGTATGCATACTCCACTAATAAAGCCCTTTCAGTTGACAACAAGGTCAATGATCTTGTGACCTTGACTGTGACCTATATGCTAAAAATAACTTTTTACACTTTTTGCCATAACTTTTGAACCATAGGAGATAGGATCTTCATATTTGGGATGCATACTCCACTGATTAAGTTCTTTCAAATGACACCATGGTCAATGACCTTGTGACCTTGACTGTGAACTATATGCTAAAAGTAGGTTTTTACACTTTTTGCCATAACTTTTGAACCATAGGAGATAGGAACTTCAAATTTGGGATGCATACTCCACTGATTAAGTTCTTTCAAATGACACCATGGTCAATGACCTTGACTGTGACCTATATGCTAAAAATAGCTTTTTACACTTTTTGCCATAACTTTTAAACCATAGGAGATAGGGACTTCATATTTGGGATGCATACTCCACTGATTAAGTTCTTTCAAATGACACCACGGTCAATGACCTTGTGACCTTGACTGTGACCAATATGCTAAAAATAGATTTTTTGAACTTTGTTGCCGCCGGGCGCATAGTGTTTCACAAACACATCTTGTTTATTTAAGTAATTTCAAGACATATACACCTTTCTCTCCCACTCTCATACCTGTTGGATTAAAAAAAAATCTTTGTGATATTTCATTTAGGATGTTGGAATGTATGTTTTTTATGCGCCCGAATTTTTTTCGGGGCGCATATTGTTTTTGTCCTGTCTGTTTGTCTGTTTGTCTGTTGTCAACTTTAACCTTGGCAAAAACTTTTGAACCGTAAGAGATAGAGACTTCATATTTGGTATGCATACTTCTCTAATAAAGTTCTTTCAAATGACATCAAGGTCAATGACCTTGTGACCTTGAATGTGACCTATATGCTAAAAATAGGTTTTTCAACTGTTTGTCATAACTTTTGAACCATAAGAGATAGAATCTTCATAATTAGTATGCGTACTCCTCTAGTAAATTTCTTTCAAATGACATCAAGGTCAATGACCTTGTGACCTTGACTGTGACCTATATGCTAAAAATAGGTTTTTCAACTGTTTGTTATATTTTTTGAACCATAAGAAATAGAGACTTCATATTTGGTATGCATACTCCACTAAAAAGGTTCTTTCAAATGACATCAAGGTCAATGACCTTGTGACCTTGACTGTGACCTATATGCTAATATTCCACTGTTTGTCATAACCTTTGAACCATAAGAGATAGAGACTTCATATTTGGTATGCATACTCCACTAATAAAGTTCCTTCAAATGACATCAAGGTCAATGACCATGTGACCTTGACTGTGACCTATATGCTAAAAATAGCTTTTTCCACTTTTTGCTATAACTTTTGAACCATAAGAGATAGGGACTTCATATTTAGTATGCTTACTCCACTAATAAAGTTCTTTCAAACAACACCAAGGTCAATGACCATGTGACTTTGACTGTGACCTTTATACTAAAAATAGCTTTTTCCACTTTTTGCAATAACTTTTGAACCATAGGAGATAGGGATTTCATATTTAGTATGCATACCCCACTAATTAAGTTCTTACAAACAACACCAAGGTCAATGACCTCATGACCTTGACTGTGACCTATATACTAAAATTAGCTTTTTTGAATTTTGTTGACGCCGGGCGCATAGTGTTTCACAAACACATCTTGTTTTCTTTTGTATTTAGTGAACGTGAAAATCTTTAAGCTTTTAGAATAATGTTATATTAGATATACACAAAATTTTATTATAAATTCAAGCTCATGATGACAAGTTTCATCGTTTATGAAATATTATGAAATGATACCACATAAAACCGTATTTGTATTTATCTAAAAATAAAAATATTTTGAGCCGATTGTACATGATTTTATAATGTGCTGCAGATTTTAAAGGAGCTTTGATCTAATTATTCAATGTATTAAGATTGTTTTAAATTCATGTATTTCCAATGCAGATAAATTATATTTGATAGATGAAGAGGAATAAAAGTTAAGAAAGTATACCCGTCTGTTTCTTATAAATTACTGGATTTAATTAAAATTATCTAAAATTAAGTTAAATTATGAAATTTACTAAAATTATCTCAGTGACAAATTAAGGATTACGGGATGGGGTCAGCTATAGAAGATAGACATTTCCAATATCAAGAACTAGGCTTTATATACAAAATGGACACCTACGCCCTTATGGTTAAAGATTTACACTAGCTTTAACAAGAAAATTAAAGATACTTATAATAATAAACTGTACTCTGTAAGTGCCAAACTAGCAAAATAACGCACTGTTCCTGATGAGGGCCTGATATATATATACTTGAGAAGAACTATGCACGCTAACTCTAGATTCCAGCCTACATTTTACAACCATTTAAAATGGCAATTTAGCATACAAGCTTTGTTGAATACAAAGAAATTACAGTAAAACACATTGATTTGTAGCAAAATACTTTTGAATTTCAAAATTAGCAAGACAAGGGTGTCCTTTAGCTCCTCTACTTGACGTTCTTCAGAGGGAACCCATACCTTGTGCAATTAGACAAAATCCTCGGATAAAACTGTCATATATTAATTTCGAGTCAAGATCAAAATCCTATAGTATACGCTGGTTGCCACACTTACTGCATTGATCTTTCTAAACCGTTGAAATTGTGATGAGGGGGCTTCGACATTGCCTTTAAAAATCCCAACATGTTCAATTAGATTCCGATCCGGAAATTTGATAGGCCTGTGCATCACACAGAAGCATTTTTGTCAACGCTTATACCCTCTTTTGACGTCTCGCGCTTAAGTTTACCTCTTTATTGAAGATTCAGACTGTTTGAGAAATTGAGATGATACTGGAGCGAGAAAAACAAATTTGTTTGTTGCCTTTTTCTCACCATTGAAGTTGCTGATTTAAATTCTACTAAAGAAGTGGTTCAGTACCATTTCACAATCTTAACGTGGTTGTAATGTGAAACCTTGGCCTCAAACAAAGATCACTTTTGGTTTGGTTAAATTTTGTCCATAATTGTGATAAGTCGGCGATTGAAATGATGCACAAACTTTATAAAATGTGTATATATCGGCTTTTATATTAGTTGTAATTTTTTTAAAGTAATATCAAGGACAAACAAGAAAACATTGATGTAACCATCAAAAGTCGCCCGGGAAATGTATAAAGTAAACAATGGAAATAAGTGTTGATCATCAAACCGCTTTGATTTGTGTGAAAAGGCATGCGTTTAATTGAAGAAGACGATAATGGCGAATATTTTAAAAACTCATAGTCGGATAAAAATCAAACAAAAAACGACTCCATTTTAAACTTGATCAATTCTTCAAGTAAATGTTGGCCGCATAAAATATGAATTGAAGTTAGACACATTCATCACCTATAATATAAAATAAGAAAATTGAAAATTAAATTACATTTTTGAATAAAGGCTATATTCAAAAATGTAATTTAATTTTCAATTTTTTATATAAAGCACGAACTGTGCAGAGTACGTTTTCATGCAAGAAGTTAAATTCGATGTTCTAAAAAAAGGGACCTGTAATTCTGTCCATAGTAAATGATAAGCAACTTTATATATTGAATATGAAAAACATAAATATTTTTACAGATTCACTTTATGGAAGTAAATAAATTTCGTATCTCCAAATTTATAAAGGAAAGATCATTCTGATTAATAATCTTTTCAATGTTAAGATAACCTTTTATTCTGAATAATTACTCCCGCCCCAATCCCCATTCACCAACTCTTAATCTTACATATATTTATTTGTAAAGAGCAGCCCGGACTCCGGGCTGCAATAAACGCTAAAATAAAAGTGAGCAAAAAATGTTGTCAGTATGGTCTAGATATCAACATTCCAACACCTCTCCCTTCTTTTCCAAAGGCTTTTTCGCCTTTTTTTGTTAAACTAGTTGCTAAAAATTGAAGAAGCTTATTCAAAACACGTGCCACAAATTTATTGGTTTTAAGCTTCGTCATTTAACATAAGTTTTCGCCAGTGATAATTGATATTCTTTCGAAAATTTCGAGAGGACTCATGGGTTGTGATAATTTGTATATCAATAACATCTAACATTTATAAATGACCGATTTCCTCATATGACATTTTATAACTTTGCCTTTCTTACATACATTTGCTAAGGTAATATCATGTTTCCATCGGTTATTACATAAAAAGACAAAGTTTAAAAGAAATTAAAAAAAAATAATCATACACATGTAAGTACACACAATTCTGTTGAAATAATATTTTTTCGGTAGTAAAAACTAATTTCTGTAATCTTATTACTGTTCCATTGTTTACAAAGAAGAAGGTATGGTTTCCATACAAATTTTGCACTGTGATTTTCTAAAAAAAATGACACTGGTGTAAAAGTTGAAAACTCATGCTTTTTAAATAATTGAAATTCAATGCAGAAAAATCATACAAGTCATTTTTCCCACATGTGTTTTTAAATGCTAATTATGACGTCATAAACACGTGCATTTCCCCGTATTTTCTTAAAAAGTTGCAGAAGACACCAATTTTCAATGGAATTTTCTTTCAGATAATATTGTCCACAGGCATCGCCCACAAAGATCTCGAGATATGTGATTTGTTATTGAATTTTGCACAATATATCAAAAAGTTAACGTGGACAACGGCTGTGGACACTGTTTTTGAAATGAAAATCACCCTTGAAATGTGCCATTTTGAGGCTTTTTCTGTTGAAAATAGAGAAATGCTTCACATTAATGACGTCATACTTGCAGAATGGTAAACCTTCATCCCATATTCTTTCCTGATTTATCAGAGTCATTTATTTAACTAATATTTAAGCCAGTTTCAAAACCTTTTGATGTCATTACATTTTTAGGGCGCTAAAAGTAAAAATCATACCTTCTTCTTTAATAAAAATATGGAGTAATATACAGATAATCAATATATAGAGCAACATCGCAGGGAAAAATGTATCTAGTGTAATATGTCAATAACTTGTGTATCTTGTGAGATAACAGTGTGCCGTAAAATCATTTGATAATCAAATCCTCTCGTTCATACTTTACAATATGTATTCATACATATCTGTATTTGTTAGCTTATAATTTTCATTAACCGGTTTTGTTTATGCCCTTTCCTAGTAATTATAATTTACAACTAATTTGAGATACCCGAACGCTCGATGTCCATTTGCAAGGCAATTTCCGTTGGATCATTAATCCTATGGGGTACGTAGTGTATAACAAATGATTTAAACATTCTTTTTTAAATTGAAAATTGAAAGTTATTTTACCTTTTTCAATAATACCGATTGAAGGCTAGGCATATTATGTTTCACAATTTTACAGCAAGAGAAGTTTGAAGATACGTGTACATTTTTGCGAAGATAATGACTTTTATAGGCTGCATCTATTTTTCTTCATTTCCAAAGATGACATTGATTTATAATAAAATTGAATTTTGAATATACATGTAGTTATTCATATTGTTCATATATTCCAGACTTGGCTTTGATATTCACTATTTTTCATTTTACTTTGACAAATTAAGCATTATCACTGACACAAGGATCAGAGTATAGGTTCATGTATGGCAACAATGAAACCTGTATTGATGTTAAGATGGACGTTATGTTTACTCTGAGTAATGGAGAGGAAGTAGTAAAAATTGATGGAAGTAATTTCACTGTGATTAGCGGAGATTGTGCAACAGAAGGAGAATATCAGGCAACATTGATACTGCATAATTTCCAAGAAGACTTTTTGGCCCTGACTTTCAATGCTCTCCCTGATTTATCAGTGAACATGAGTTTGAGGTTTACATTTGCTCCATTCGAGTTCTTTCCAGGAACACCAATAGCAAGTAAGCTGTAATATTGATAATACATATGTTGATAAATATTCACAACGAAAACATTAAAACGGGATTTCCATTTATCCCTTTATCCCTTTTTTTTGAAAATATCATTTAGACAAAAAATTTCAGCTACAACAACTTTGTTGGACACTGGAGACTTGAAACTTGGAAATGTCACCCAGCTTTACCGGTGTATATCCCCTCAGAGAATGACATTGACTGGAGAGCTGGAAGACATTACTTACACAATGTTAATGGATATGTCTGGTGTCCAGATTCAGGCCTTTAATATAGAAAATGGAACCCTCAGTACTGATGGTTAGATGTTACTTTAATTCCATATTCCGATATGAAATTAAATATACTATGTCTCTAGATGTCGTAAAATGATAAAAATTTCAATGCAATAGTAAATATACATGTTTAACAAAAAATCAATACTTTATAAACACTTTGTGGTATATTTCAGATAATTTAAAATGAAGTCTGTGATGAGCATTTGAAGTTTTTAGTAACTGATTTTTCAGATTGTCAGTAAATTCGAATTCCAAATATTTGTTATTGAAGAAAGCCACTGAAATCGAATTTAAAATTACAGTGATAGTTTGCTTAAATGCTAAGTTTGTTAAAGGTCAATTTAAGCAAACTGAAAGGAAAAAGAAACGCAGGGTAGCATTATATTTGATTTTTTTTAACCGCATGACCGAAAATTACGAAAATTGGTCAGATGAGAATGTTAGTTAGTAATTACAATGCACCAAAATTAGTGTTCAGAATTATTCAACCGTAAAATGTATGACGTAACGAAAGGAATACGCCAAAAGCTCAAAACAAGTGTATATTGATGACGAGTTTGTCAACAAATCTTGTACCATTTGATACACCAGAGGGACACGCATTTTTTAGCATTTAGATATGATATGACTTTTTTGCAATCTTGATACAGTTTACAGAAGTTCAATTGCGTCGGGTTTTCGAATCGCCCAAGTAAGAAAAATGTACCAACTGGTTACTGGGCAGTTACTGGGCAGTTTCTCGTAAATTTCCCCCCATAAAACGTCTTACTCATTGTCAGAGAGGACCAGGAATGGTTTTCAACCAACTTTGACAATGACGTAAACGCGAAAAAAAGTCGTTTAACGATCGGGTTATTCGTTCTGCTACCTCTTGAATTTCCACCTTACTACCAAAGAACGCTATTTATACAGAAGACTATTATAATCTTTAAATTCACCCGAAAACTTAAAAAAAATAGCATAAATCGGGTTTTCGAGCCAGTCAACTTACAATGGTTTTCCTCTCATTAGCGCATGCGCGCGTCGTTTCACTAATTTTTCAGCGTGATTACCCAATCTCAATATACCCAGGGTTTAAAAGATAAACATTCTGATAAATTTCTGCCAAAGGAGAGTGAAAGCTGTGACAGATGCGCCGGTGAGACTTTAAAGATAATGAAAGTTTTCGAATTTCACTTTTACGGGGTATCGTCATATGGGTATCTCATGAATAATGAAACAAAATCAAATGTCATTTTGGTCACATGTTTTGAAAGATGATTTTACAAATAAGACAGGATTGCTAAAAAAAAGGGAAAAAAATAATTCATCTCAAAAGTTTACCTGCGCTTTTTTTGCCTTTAAATATAAGAAAGAAGGTACTACTCACATGAAAACACGCGGGTCTTTAAATAAGTGCACATTTAAAATTCAAAACGCGTTGTTTACTTGGAAGAAATGAAGAAAAAACTACTCACACATGGGGGAATAATTTAGATTATATGCATAACACATCAACGAAAATTCCAGAACATTGCTTGAAAAGTGGGAGGAATATGATGATCGGGTTGTTCGTCCGTCCGTCCTGACGCCCATCTGTCCGTCTGTCTCCATTCGTTTGTTACACGTTGGGGTATCCATCTGATATCTCTTATCTGCTTCTCAATACCATTGTTCACCCCCTTTTTTTTACTTTTATTCGGATACACATTTTGAGTTTCCCATAACAAAACAACGACATCGCCATTCTTTCTACATGTGTAATATTCAAGAGTAGCCGTCTCTTATTTGCAACTCCATCCGACACGCATTATGAAATTTAATAATACTTTCACAGATTCAGTTCTTTATTGCCTATTTTACTTTTTAATCTGACACTTATTTTGGGTAAACATATACAAGAGCAAAACATGGACTTTGCACTTATAATCATAGGGGAGGCGGAGGGGGTGGTTGTATCATAGTCAGTGGGGAGGGGGGGGGGGCACAAAGTTAATTCATATGTAAAGGGCATTGAAGGGACAGATATTCAAAGACATATGCAAGCATCCATAGTTAGTGTAGATTCAAGTTTGTTCAAATCATACCCTCTTCCCTATTGGAATTGGTTGGGACCACTTTTTGGTTCAAGCTTTTAAATGATAATGTGATTTCTGCATTTTTCTTAGTCGCAGTGCTCAGGTGAGCGATGTGGCCCATGGAAGTCTTGTTGAATGATGGTATCAAAATTCCACGAATTATTAAATAAGAAGATATTTCTTATTCTATGACGTTATTTCAGTGTTTGAATGCTATTATAAAAAATGCCCGTATCAAAAAATGGTATTCCAAGTTACAACATTCTGGCCACGCAATGTAACAGTAGACGCCTCCACAGCTGATCCCACTTATATGACCACAATTCCAGTATCCTCTCAAACGTCCACATACAAAGTAATGGAGAATTCTATAGCCTGTCTCATCATAGAGGGACACTTTCAACTTATTGTGACTTATATTAAATGGGATAATGGAATTGTAAGTTTTCTTTAGTTAAAAAAAATGTGCATGTTTTAATCATGAGCTTGTTTAAAAAAAAATAAACCAAAAAATAAACAAATTATTCCAAGCCATTGGATACTTTCGAAACAATGTCCTAAAAGTTTTTAAATCGCTGATAGTATAGTGCATGAAGGTTCAGATAGTTATAGTTTTCCTCACATCAGATCTCACTTGCCGAGATTGGGCAAATCAAAATTCATGGTGAAAGCAAGCATAAGAGTAGAAACGTTAACAAAAATTTAAAGGACAATTCTTAAGAATATACAGGAAAATTCTTTAGAAAACAAAGAAATGTTTTTATAATTGTCATTTATGGAGTAATAATTAATTTAAGCAATATAGAAAGGATTTGTTAATGAGATATTAGTTTCTACATTGCAGGCCAAAAAAATTATAAAATTCCCAGAGAGCAGTAAAGTTAGAGTCAATGGAACTTGTGCCAGTGGAAATGACGCCACTTCCAGCCTTACCATAACAGCAGAGAATGCAGAAATCAAATCCTTGACATTGAATTTTGAAATCATGGAAGGCATATCCTATTTGGTATCCTTGTCTGCAGATGTTGATGTTACAATGTTCCCAGATGTCAGGTTAAAAGCGTATCCGAAATGTAGGTAACGCACCAACGGCATATGATTTGATGGGATTTTTTTGTATTTTCATGAGGACGGGGTTGGGACTTCAAATAAATGTACATTAAGGTAGGATTCTTTTCACACGTAAATATATTTTTTATATTTAAAAATTAATGAAGTTTTTACAAACTCAAGAAGACAACATGACTAGGTGATGGAATCAGTTAGATTAGTTTTGACCATTTTATATTAGAGTCAATGTCAGGTTAAGGTCATTACCTTTCCCCTGGTCATAAAGAATAAACATAGCTGCATCCAGTCATGAGATAGAGTCTTACCATATTACCATATAGGGTCTATACGATTTTCTTACCAAATTGAAACAAATAGTGTAACAAAAATGGATTTTGGCTAATCCGAATTTCCTCTATTTTTTCTTCAATTTTTAGGATATTTAAGTTATTTTTATTTGCAGCCTATATTTATATTTTTCTTATTTTCACATATGGTAAAGAAGTCATATAGAGATACAAAACGATACAAAAACAAAAAGTTTCTACCGTTTAGTAAGAGAGTAAAAACACTTTCTAAGGATTTTTGGATCATGTCTGTACTCAGATTGGAAGCTTTTAAAATCTAACATAATTGAAGTTTGTTTGGAAATTCATATTTATAAGAAATATTTTGCCATTTCTATTTAAAGTTGTACAATTGTGACGAGGAAAGAAAAATATGGTCTTTTAAATCGCTTTCACCTAAATGTATAATGCATATAAGCAAATATACATTGAATATTTGATCTATATGTACTCAGAAACCAGAGAAGAATCCTTCCTTAATGTAGTTAAAGTTAGGTGTTGAGATTTCCAGATGAAAAGATTTTTTTCAGAGAGTACTTATCAGAGATATATTTAAAAAAGATATGCGCATATTTAGCTGCTGTGTAGAAATTATGAAAAGATTCTCCTTATAAACAATCATGGGTTAAACAACCATTCATTTATATTGAACATTATACTTATGATTTCCTATGTCCAATTTGCAGGTGAGTTAAATCACGTGGTAATTGGTAAGCCACTGAAGTTATCAATCCCCAAGTTTTATTATAAATGTGACGTAGGGGGAAATTTCTCAGACGATACCATGGCTTTTATGTTCAGAAATTTCAGAATACAAGCATTTGATGTGGAGAATGGGATATTTTCAGAAAATGGTAATTAATTTGTATTTTATGAACTTCTACTTAATATTTCCCTTTAAATAAACATCAGGGCCATTTTTCAACCATTAATGCTTAATCAGTTTCAACCGGATTTTCACAGTCTTGCTTAAATTTTTATGATAAATAATGCTATTAATATACACACTTTATTTAAGACAAAAACGGTCTATTATCTGATTTCATTAATATGATATCTAAAAAGGCGATTTTTCCGTTTAATTTATGGAGTGCTACACAATATGACATTAGATACTAAGGATTGATGCAAAATGGGATCTTTAAATTCCTGCGTTTAGAATTTCAAAACCAAGATTTATATTTTTACTTTAATACCAATTTAATACCCCTTTTCAATAACCTCAGTAGATGTATATCAAAAAGTCACATTTACTTTTTTACGGGTCTGCAGCAAATATTGCTGCAAACTTGCTGCACTGCAGCTAAAGAAAGCATTGCTTTGGTATTTTCAGCAAGTTTGTGGGAAATATGCAGCAAGCTTGCAGCAAACATTTTTCCATGTTAATGAGGTTTGCTGCAAGTTTACGGAAAACACTGGATTTTCTTAATAGTGAATCTTTGCTGCAAGCTAGAGGCAAATATTCCTGCAAATTTGCAGCAAACATTTGAGCAAGCTTTCAAAAGCTTGTGGCAAACATTGCTGCTGCATGTAACTTGCAGCAAACAATTATCTTAGGATTTTGTCATATTCATGTATACAAACAGCAAGTTCACAAAAAACATTTGTCCTGACCTAAATTTATTCAATTTGGAGGAAATCATCCACATGAATCTAAAATTTTCAGAAGTGTTGATAGACTCTATTTATGTTTCTAGACAATGTGAATTAAAACAGGTATCTACAAACTACAATAAATCGATATAAAGTACATGTAATAAATAGAAACAATTTGATCTTAACTTATTTTCAGGATATGACTGTAAGGAAGACATAGGACCTATTCCAAATCCTGAAAACCCTGCTTTGAAAATGTTTGCAGTTGCTGATAAAAACGTCACTTGTATTGTGCTCAAAGGAGGTATTCAGTTCAACATTCCATACATGTCAGATAATGGGGTAAATGTCAGAACTACAGCTTCATGCATTATGATGTTTATGTCGATAGTCTCTTGTCTCTCTGAAAAGAAATATGATATATTTTCTTTGAAATGTTTTAATGAGCCGCAAAAAATAATTCAAATTTAAAATTAAAGAAATTTGCGCCACTGTTAGATCCGCAACATCAGTTCTCTTTAAGGAAATCCTCCCTTAAGGAATAAAGAATAGCTTTTAATTTTATTATTTAAAAATGTCGAAATGAAGTTTGCAATTAAGGGGGCCGACTATAGTTTTAATGTGTGAAAACTACAATAGCGAAACTCTTCATTTTATACCATATATAACATACAATAACTTCAGTGCACATGCAAAGTTTGGGGGAAATTATTCAGGTATTTTTGAGGGACCGTCTCAAAATACAGGTACATTTACTATAGGATTAATATATTTTTTAAAAATGCCAATTTTAGCACTTTAAAGTAAATTATACAAATACTACAATAGACATTTTGTTCAAACTAGAATATTTGATGGGTAATACAAGATTATACAATATATTAAGAAACATACAATTCTATCGTCTTGTTACCAGAGGGGGCATCTCAAAATGCGAGAAATTAGCAAATTTTACCATTTTTATAGCGTATTAAAAAATCTGACGTACACAATGGTTCCACATGAAAACATAATAAAAATATTGGAGATATTCTCAAATTTCTATGTTTTAAATTTCAAGAGCATATGTTTATTACTTTTTCTTTAATAATATTTTTATTACCCCTTTTTTAGAGAGCTTAAGATTATTATAACGTCAAAAGCACACTGAAACGACGTCAACCTACCTATCAATTGAAAAAACGGTTAAAAAGTCAGTTATATCAAATTATATTACATTTTTATACCTATAATTTCTTAATTTTGTTTGATTTTAATAATTAAGCGAAAAAAGTTGCATCAAAACAGTAAATACGCTTCATTTTACTATGATGCGGGAGATATTGCGCAGTGGAATTTTTAGTCAGCCCCCTTAAATATTTTCATCATATTCATTTCAATATAATTCTAAGCTCATTAACATTTTAGAAAGTGCGTCGAAAAAAGGTCGACTAAAAAGAGTATAGAAATTAAAAAGCAATTTATTTTTGCAAAACGTCTTTAGTTTTGCAATTATTTCTAATGTTTACTTTCATTAAATGCAATTAGAAATATCTTACAAAATAGGTATCGTGATATCTATTCTAATTGTAATGTATGGCCGTTCAGCTGCAAATTTGATGCCAAAAATACGGCGTAAAGCTTGCACTACACTACTAAGAGTAAGAGCTACTCTTTGCAATTGCGTATTATATATTTGAATACTTCAAAACAGTTTCCTTAGCTATATTTTTATTTTTATTAAAAAGTACGTTCGATTCTCTTTGGATGTAATTGAGACATATTCAAATTTAAATATTAAAAATAGCATTGCGTTTTTTTTCTCTTTGAATTAATAAAAAATATTTTCCTAGAATGCAACAGCACTGATCACTCTACCAGATCGATACACTGTAACTGGGGACTGCAACACAAAACTGAATGGATATTATTCCCAGAAAATAGTTATTGGATTTTACAATTCCTGGAAGTTGACAATATACTTCTCCTCTGATGTACAGCAAAGTGAAATCATAGCAAGAGAGAAAGTTACTAAGTACCACATCTCCAAGATTGAGCTTGATTATGATTTTAATAACAACCTTTTTACAAACGCTGTGGACAGCAGTAAGTATTTTGTTTCAGTTCATTTAATTTAAATTTTTTATAATAAAATATAGCATGCATGCATAATTTCTATTTACACACAATTTTCCTGGAGATTTCCTCTTTGTTGTCTGACGATGGAAACTCTTTTTCATATCATATTTTTTGTAAAATTGATATATATATATGATTAAATAAATAAAAGTTTCAAATCCCCCCTCCCTAAAAAAAGCACGTGTTAACTGTCGAAATTCTACTTTTGGATAATCAGACTTTTTCCAAATTTAATTTATATGTAGGTGTTTTGAAATTTAATTTTACTCGTAAAACAACATACAATTTACAAATGAATTCCTAAAAATTTTTTTTATAAATTGTCATAGTAAAAATCTCAACTATAAATCATAGTTTCAAAGTCTGAAGGTATCATTGGTAGACAAGGCATTAGTGTACATTAAACTATAAAAAACCTATATTTAACTAGATGCTACCATAGTATGTACGATAAACATTTGATTATTTAGTTACATTTTGTTAGTTTTTGTTAATCGCAATGATAATTGAACTGTCTGTAAGTGAAATGTACTCAATAATCATGCTTGATGCAGACAATGTATGACAAGTGAAACCACGGTCTTTGTATTATAGTTCATCAAACTGATTTTATTTCTTATTGCAGTTCTCGGTACAAATAAAACAGCTGTTACTGCCAATCTTAATGCATTGACAACAAATAAGGATCAAAGCTACACGTGCAAGAAAGAATCTACATTTAACATTCAGAATGGCATATCTATGACAACCAAGGAACTTCAATTTCAAGCCTTCAAAACTGAAAATTCAACTGCTTTCAGCTGTAGGTTTTATGAAATACGAATTTCTTTTAAATGCATTCAAACAACACTCATGTGTATAAAATATTGAAATTACTGTTACATGTATCAAGCTAAAAATCTGATAACTCAATACAAATTGCAATTGGAAGCAAAGATAACACATACTTTTTCAAAACAACAGAGGTGGGATCAGGCGCCATTAAGGAGCAGGCATCCCCTGTCTACCGGTCAAACCCACTCGAGCTAACTGTTATGATCAGAAAAGCGAAAAAAAATCTTAAATTCAGTCAGAGTCAAAACTTGCGAAATGACGACTCTAAATAAAAGTTTACTCCAAACTCTTGATATCCTTGTTTCATCAATTTGTTTATCAATAGTTTGAGCGTTTTTGAAACCTTTCTTTCTGGAAAAAGCTTTTGCTTATCTAGTCAACTGGGAGATATAAAACCCATTTTGTTTGTTTGTTTGTTCTCCCTTAGAGAATTTGTGCTCATATGGAGATGCCTATAAATCCAATATGCAGGGTATATTGCTTCATAAGTATGGGAAGCTGATGATAGAAAAGTTGAAGTAATCACATGTTTCATTACTTTTTTGTTAGGTTACCATAAATCTTTTTCTCATAAAATTTCCAATATGAAACAGACTTGATAGACTCTGTGGTATTTTTAGTACATAATGTGAATATGTATAAATGTTAAATAAATAAGAAAATAAATCGTGTAGGTCTGTTAATAATGTATTTCTATTATCTTTTGTTTATACCAATGTGCTTAACTTTACTTGCGAAGACGAAACCATTTCCAGGTGTTTGTTAAATTGATATAATAATAATAAGCAGAATAAATTTGCATAGGAATAGTTACGACGTTCACAGATATTAAATTATAGGTCGATACATGTAAATGTAATACGTTGATAAAACCTGATATGAAGATTTAATATATTTTCATTTTCTTTTATAGCGGCAGTCTACTGTAAGGACAATGAAGATAATAACATTCTGTTAATTTCCACAGGAGCAGCATTAGGAGGACTTCTACTTTTAGTCGTTGTGTTGGTCATTATTCACAAGAAACGTCAGAATTATGAACAACTAACACATTGAATACAATCTTTAACAATATGGCGTTAACTTATGAAGAATTGTTAAAGGTTTTATTTATTTTCAATCCAGACGTAAATTATTCTAAGGCAAGCAATCTTTTATAAATTACATAATTCGGTGTTTATCAAATTTTGACTTTCATGAATGATGTTGCAATTGTTACCAAAGTAGAATAAAATGCAGAAAACAATGTCATTTTCCACCGCTTTTAGACCTCCAAAGGTAAAAAAAAAAAATGAAAATTCCAAAGCGTTATTGCACACATACAGAACACAATCAATCATCTTTCCAAAGATTATATGGCTACTGCGTAAAATACAACGGTTGAGAGAACCGAGGTCTTTATCTATGAAATGTAATTTTTCGTCCCCTATTTGCTCCTAGGATGAAAAAGAAAATTCAAAATCTTATTGTACATCTACAGAAAACCAGCAATCATGTTCTTAGAGATGATAATACTACTGCATAAGACAAGTAAAATGGAAGAAAAGTTTACCAGGGGTCCATTTTATCAAAGTTCGTATGTCCAGTCGTAGCGTAACGCTGGTTTTAAACAAAGAAAAGTGATCATATCCACAGAATATTGACTGGGCTCATTTTTTAACTTTTGTGGAGTCGTAAAATTATCGGTTTGGAAAAGTTTTCTACAGTTGAAAAAATACCCTACTTGCAGAATATTCACACGGGGTCATGTTTCTACGTATAAAGAAACATTCTCATAGACAAATTATTTGGACATTTTAAAATGTCCAGATTATTTGTATATACAAAACCTCAGTCAGCATTCGGCTTAATATCAGATTATATTTGCTAACAAGGTCATTGTATAGACCACAAAACTGGCAAAATATTGATTTCAAACAAGACAGTTAATACCCTTCATTATAACATTAAATACCGGTAATTATATTTTAATCAAATTGACTTAATCAACTTTTAATCGCTATTAAAACGTTACTACCGGGTTGATAGTAATTTTAGTATGCTTTTCTGATAATATGGCAGGTCATTGATATGAGATATTGTGTCGTCACTCAAGTCAGTGTATATACCACTAAGTATAATTATGATAAATGTTAATTTTTGTCCAATTTTCATACATCCATCAATGACGTCAGCTTGACTTGATAACTCTCATTAGATTAAAAGCAATATGGGAGAACACTTCATCAGAGCAGCAATACTCCTGTTTGGTAACTATGAATGTTTCATAATAATAACAAGTTAGAAGAAATTTTGAAGAAAGTAATCGCGTTGCTAAAAAAATTATAAAACATTCTTCAATATTAAACTTTCATATAAATAAGTTGAATCTGACTGGTCGAGAAACATTTGTTTAAAAAACACTTTTACCCGCTGAATAATGAAGCTACGCCCTCTGGGCAGCGTAGCAACAGTCAACAGTACTTGACGACGGGTGATATTCCAAAAAATACCGAAAATATGCGCACACGTTTCACTGTTATGTTTTTGTATAAAACATTCAGTATAATGAATGCGCCTCGGTTGACAATGGTTTTCTTGGGTGGAAATTTTCAGTGTTACACTCAACTACATGCAATATTTATATAATGTTTTTAATTTAAATTAAGGATACATAACACAAACCTTTATCAGAAATCAGCGATAACTCTAATAAATTTATGTTCGTATATATAATTTTGATTACGTTTATTAGATTTAATGTAGAAATTTTGCAAGAGTATATACTTATCTAATACTTATGTATATGGATATATTTAAATAAATCCATTTAGAAAATATTGCATAAGTCTCAGATTGAACTTCAAAGAACATTTACGATTTCTTAATATTTCAGAAATTTATCATTTGTATAATTTGTATCATTTTTAAAGATATATATGCCGTGTTAAACAGTATTTTTGCACAACTGAAACGAAACAAAAATTCCTGAAGTATGATAAGCTATAAGATATGAATTATTCTTGCAAATTCGACGAAATAGTATTCGTTATTAACAAAGTACTGGTCAGGAAAAGAACATGATATTCTAATGCATATTTATGAAGGATTGACGTTAATGCTGGATCTGCGAATGTGCGCTGGAAAAGTCTCGCGAGTTCGAGGAAACTATTGTCAATGAGTTGGATTACAGGTTACTACAAAAAATACTACATGTACATGTTTTTTTTTCGATAAGGCTAGTTTTTTAAATCGCTCTCGGAAAGAAGTGATGCATTTTTCCAATCATTTAAAGCGCTTAATGCATTATGTACATTATTACCTACTAATCCCATGCTCACATATACATACAAATGATTACAATGATAAAAATTAGGGTTTTCCCCGCTGCATTATACAGCTTTTCCCGTGTGTGATTTCAGTGAAAAGTCAATTTCACGTGACTATTCCATGGTACAAAAATCAAACCAACTCACGTTGAGATGTGCTCACGTATTGACAATGTTTACATCATATACAACTTCGAAACACACAGACGAGTATGCTACTCAATACACGTTCTACGATCAATGCACATGAGAATTAATAGGGGAATTTTTTTAAATTTGCAATTTTTTTTTCTTTTTATAAATGAATGAACTTTAAATTTTTAGTAACAAATAACTGAGCAACAGTTAATTCAACCAGTTACATTGCAAATTTACGAATATCGAGTTTAAAAACTGGAGTCTTATTTACTTGTGGAGACTTTGTGAGCAGTATTTCAAAGTACTTTTGAACAATGAAAACTGAATTTGTTTGCTAATGTAAGCATGGGAATTCTTAATATATAGTCTACGTATTTTCCTCAAACACGTTCAAAAAATTGTAAATTGGCTTTCCAACAGTGATTTGAAATCGCATCCTACATTTCCCTAACCCACGTGTTTGTAGTAAAAATAAACATGTAGTAGCCCATCATACTTTTCGGCTCATTCATGAGATTGGACTATTGTTTGCTGTGAGCATGAATATTTCAATAAGGGGCGGTTTAATATCCGACTCGGAGAGAAAATAATATTTACCAAATAATATTTCATAACTTTTTGAAGTGATGGAATGGGATTGTCTTATCTGCAGAAAGTATATAACTTGATGAGATACCACATTTATTTATTTCTTTAAAAATAAAACACTAATACGGCATATATATCTTTAATCAAAATCAATCAAAAAATTATACTAACCCATGCATCAGTTTTATGTTATATATCCTTCACTGTTATTGTTGTTGTTGTTGTTTACATATAAGATAACATTCTTGTGTATTTTGTAAACTGATAAGAAGGAAGAAGTACATATATATTTTCAAGTTCGTATTTTTCCAAGCATTGTTTCGTAACCCGCATATTGCTGGAAAATACATTTTTTATCCACATTATCCCACATTTCCAAGAATCGTTGATGTCCTGGATACTCTGCTTATTAGACAGTCATTCCTTAAATATATGCAACTTCTCAGTACATGTTTATAGAGAATATATACATAGCTTGTAATGAAAATATAGTGTCACCAAATTAATATTTACTTAATGTTAATTTTGATATTTTTCATAAAGCACTATCAGTGTCACAGGAAAAAGAATTCAATTACTCAACTTCAAACAATGAAATTTGCATCGACGTTAAGATGGATGCCATATTATACCTCACTGATGGATATACAACAGTTAATTTTACCGAAAATAATTTCATGGTCAAAGACGGGGAGTGTACACACGAACAAGAATATCAATCGTCACTGACGCTGAAAAACGATTCCAATTTGCTGAAATTTACATTCAGTGCTGAACCGCCTGATTTGAGAGTGAACATGAGTCTGATATTTGAATTCAACCCATCTAAGTACTTTCCAGATTCATCATCTTCTTCAGGTAAGGATTCAATTGCCTATTTTTATACTACACATACATTTTTGTATCGTCTGTAGAGCAGAGGTTCTACAGCAAAACCTGGTCGAAGAGAAAATTCGGACTTTATAAATTGATTCAAATGAAGTTTTTCCCGCAGTACCTAGCTCTTAGCCCACAATCATTTTTAGTGACCCTTGCATCCATATAATTATATAACGGACATTGCTGATATAAGTTAATAGAATATTAAACGTTCGTTTAACTTTTGATAATGTAACATACATACAGCGCCATATGACGTCGGATTCCAGACGTGTGGCTTAGAGGGCTTGGTGGTTGTGGCCATTTTGAGAAGAAAGGCCCCATAAACAGATGCACAAAAATGATCAAATTTTAAATCTAAAATGTATGAATTTTTTCTCTGCCAAGTGAAAATTTACAGTTTCAAAGGTCAACATGTACAAACATTTATTTTTACAATAACTCCAAACTATGTGAGGTATAAAGTTAAAACTTTTACAGTTTATAAATTTTTCATTGATTAACAGATCGAAAGTATCAGTTGATAAAAAAAATGCATATATTTTTAGAAAATGCACCTAATTAATCCTGTGCTTTTAGTGAAAACCATCACTGCAGAAACAAAATGTGTTTTTCAATGAAGGGCAGGTTGGACTTGGATATCCTCTTGAAAGTTGTTTTCCCAGTTTATTTTGTCGAAATGTTAAGACTTGAAAGCGAAAGTACATTGCAAATGGCGGGTTCTACAGGGGTCTTGTCTTTATACATGTCATGCTTTCAATAACAGCTTTTCGGAGACCATTCACGTCCAACTTATCCTTCAATGATAAACATATATTATTTCTGCAATGATTGTTTTCACAAAAAGGACAGAAAAAGCACGTGCATTTCTCTTTAAATATGGACATTTTCTGATACAATTTTTCTCAAAAAATATGTTCTTTTAATATTTGTTATCAAGTGATACTCTCTACATGTATCTATTAATCAATGATATGTCTAAAAACTGTAAACATTTTGACTTTATACCACACATAGTTTTGGAGCTATTGTAAAAATAATTTTTTAGACCTGTTGACATTTGACGAAACCTTAAGATATCAATGGCACGCAAAATTCACAAAAATGAGGTAAACATAGTTTAAAAGTTGATAAACTAAGTTTATCGACTGAAAACTATAGTTAACAATTCATTAATTATAGTTTTCATCTGTAAAACTATGTTTAACGGTTGTTAACTTTAGTTTACGAATGTTTATATAAGTTTATCTGTCTGTA